GTAACGTACCTTTTGTTTTCTTTTGGATAAATATTACGAAGATCATACGTCGCTCTTTTAGTTTCCTTTGTTTGCCAATCGCATTAAGGAGACATAAGCGGTGCGAATTCCGCTATCGTATGAAATAAGTCACGAGCCAAACAAGAGAAACGAAATTAAAACGAGAGGATACGAATCGTTTTAAATATGGTCGGAATATATCGTCGTATAATTTTCATATGCTCTCGAGTTAATTCATTGACTGCCGATGTAAACGTTCCACCTAAATGTAGAAAGTCGGCAATAATGTTTATAGGTGGTAGTTGGTCGGTGTTGGTTAACGAGTAGAGAACTGCGGCTGTTCTGTGGTCGCATCACAAAAAGACACAGTCGATTCTTTTTTTTTCACAAAACATGGCCAACTGTCAATCGACCGGTATCGATTGATAGTGGGGAAGTACCCTTAGACTGCAGCTGGTCTCGCCGTTTCCTAATTCATCCGCGTGTCGCTTATGCTCTATTTTGTTCCAATCCGCTGATTTTTGTTCGATTTTCTTTTTCCTATTCTACATGGATCTTCTTCGCGTATTATTACAAGGCTGTTGCCTTTTCTTCTTACGTTCATCTTTTAACTCTTTCTCACTCTTACTCCCTACACTTTTTTTTTCTTTTTTTTTTTTTTTTTTTTTTTGTCAATCTTTCGTTTCGTTTCGTTTACGTTTCGTTCTCCTTTATTACAGGCCACACAAAGACGGACAATGGTATTTCAAAATTACAAATTCGATTATATATAAGTTCGATTGAGAATTGTCCAATGACCTGACAGCTTGATAGTCTCTGGTGATCGCAGAACTCGCAGTGCGCTGCTAAAAAACAAAGAGACCTAGTACCGTTATAACAACACAAAATTTTAGCTTGACTTTGCGCAAAACTTCGTAACTACAGAGAAAGTTGTCGGAAAATTAACAATGTACATTGACGAAAAAAAAAAAAAAAAGAAAAAAGGAAGGACATTTCCCTGCTTACTAACGTAATAATTAGTATTATTCTTGTAATTATTATACATACGTAAATAGCAATTTTTCAAAGTTCGATCGCGAGTGATGAATGTTGGTAAAGTTTATAACATAAACGATGCTATAAACTTCATTTGGTCTGGCCCTTTTCTTGGATATTGTACCTCCATATCAATAATTAGCTCGAAATAGACGTATAATAATCATTTTTCGAAGATCTTGTTAGTTTTCTGGCGCTAAGATACACTTTTAAATGTTTCTCAATCTACATGATGTCGAATAGGTCTCTATTCGCAGATGAAGTAATAACAGCGATATTAGGCAGATTAGATCTAACTTGATCCTTTAAGGATATATCCAGCATAAAAGGTAAAATTCAGCACGTGCACTTATTCTATATCACCGAATGGAATTGAGGAATATTTTGATTCCTGTATCTTCATAAGTACCCTAATGTGTAGATAGTATTTTCCTATCTGTATTTTCGACACGTGTCCGTATAAAGGTGCTAGGGCAGACAAAAC